AGGTTGAAAGAGTTTGGAAGGCTCAGAAGATAGGAAGACAAAGGAAAGTTTAGAACTTCTCAGAGACTCATTAAATGGTTGTGACCAAAGCGCTGATAGAAATATGGAGAGTGAAAGCCAGGCTGAGGAGGCCTCAGATAGAAATAAAAAAGTTGGGAGAACTGGAGGATAGGTCACCTGTGTGACACCTTAGCAAACAACTTGGCTGCATTATCCCCATGTCCTGGGGATTTGCATAATGTTGAACTTAAAGAGCAATGACTTAGGGTATCTGGTGAAAGAAATTCTAAGCATCATTCAACAGGTGATGTGGCAGCTTCTCACAACCTATAGTCCGATGTAGGAGCAAAGGAATGACTTAGAGTTGGAACTTACCATTAAAAGGTTAGCAGAGCATAAAAATGTGGAAAATTTGCACCCTGGCCCTGTACTGGAGAAGGAATCCAAGCTCCCAGCAACTACCTGCTAGACAGATTAGCATGACTAAAAGGGAGCCAGGTGCTAATAGCCAAGACTATGGGAAAACAGCCTTAAGGGCATTTTAGAAATCTTTGAGGCAACCCCTGCCATCACACACCCAGAGGTCTAGGAGGAAAGTGGTTTTGGGGGCCAGGCCCAGGGCCCCACTGCTCTGCACAGCCTTGAGACACTGCTCCCAGCATCCCCAGCCTTGGCTCAAAGGGCCCCAGATACTGCTTGGTTTTCTGCTTAATGGTTGCAAGCTGTCAGCCTTAGCGGTCTCCATGTGGTGTTAAGCCTGCAGATGCACAGAATGCAAATGTGAAGAAGGCTTGGGAGCTTCTACCTAGATTTCAGAGGATTCCCTAAGCCTGGGTGCCCACGCAGAAGCCTGCCACAGGGACAGAGCTCCCACTGAAAGCTTCTACTAGAGCAGTGCCAAAGAGAGATATGGGGTTGGAGCCCCCAAACAGCGTCTCCAACTGAGCACTGCCCAGTGGAACTCTGGGAATGGTCACGGCCTACACCCAGCAAAGCCACAAGGGCAAGGCTGCCAGAAGACTTGGAGGCCCACCCCTCACCAGTGCGCACTGGATGCGGGACATGGAGTCAAAGGACTGTTGTGGAGCTTTAAGGTTTAGTGTCTGTCCTGCTGGGTTTCGGATTTGTGTGGGGCTCGTTGCCCCTTTCTTTTGGCTGCTTTCTCCCTGTTGGAATGGGAGTGTCTACCCAATGCCTGTACACCACTATATCTTAAAAATCAATAACTTGTTTTGGATCTTATAGGCTCACAGGTGGAAGGAACTTGCCTTGATTCGCAGCTGAGATGTTGGACTTTTGAGTTGATGCTGGAAAGTGTTAAGACTTTGGGGAACTATTGGGAAGAGATGACTATTTTGCAATGAGAGGAACATGAGATTTGCCGGGGCCAGGGGCAGAATGATATGGTTTGGATGTGTGCCTCCTCCAAACCTCATGCTGAAATGTGACCTCCAACACTGGAGGTGGGTCTAACAGGAAGTGTTTGGGTCATGGGGGTGGATCCCTCTTGAATGGCTTGGTGCTGTCCTTGTGGAAATGAGTGAGCGCTCACTCTATGACAGCTGGTTGTTTAAAAGAGCCTGGCATCTCCCTCTTGCTTACTCTCTTGCCATATGACATGCCTGCTCCCCCTTTGCCTTCCACCAGGATTAAAAGCTTCCTGGGGCTTCATCAGAGGTGGATGCTGGCATCATGCTTTTTGTATAGCCTGCAGAACTGTGAGCCAGATAAATGTCTTTTCTTTATAAATTGCCCAGCCTCAGGTATTCCTTTATAGCAACATAAAATGGACTAATACAATCATGTTCCCTAAATTTGATCCCATGGCTTTGGATACAAAATTTCTGGCTCTTTGTCTCTTGGGCAGGCTGAATAACCAGACTAGGTTTTATGCAAAAGAAATATTAGTTTTACTATTGCTGGTTATATGTTATACATAAGCCTACCACATACTAAATTACAAATAAACTGAAATGTAAAATAAAACCCATTTATACTAGTTTCATGTTTTCCTGGATTATAAAACACAATTTTTGACACTGGAAGAAACCATACCATCTACTCCACTTATCACTGAACTTCAAAATAAAACTGCAACTGAAGCACCAATAAAAGAACACTATGAATTGACATTTATTTACCAAGAAGACTGGCACTCTCTGATCAGGTGCTACAGTAGAATCCGGTTGATACTGCTGTATTAAGCCTGTGCCCAGTTCTTCCAGAAGCTGCCAAGAAAAAAGAATTACCAAAGCAGAGGATTAGCACTAACAAACAACTTCACTTTAGTTTGGAGATCACCTCAAGTCAACGGGAAACATAATTTACAACTAATTTTCTTCCGTTTTTCAGTCACTCTTAACAGAGGCATTCTTTCAAGGACTGAAATCAACAGCTATATCTTACACATTTGTTACCGAATCAATTCTTGGGGTTTACATATAACAGCTGAAAACAGAAGAATGTATAGTCTTCCTCACCTGAAATCTCTTTAAGAAATCTCAGAATTGAAGGCCATGTGGCAGAAGAATATAAAGTGAAGAAAAGGAGGGATATAAAGTGACGAGAAGGAAAAAGCGTTGTGGTTTTGATGAAAATTACCTTTGCTCCATGAAGCTGAATGGATGGATCTGCTTCCCCCATGCACTTGCAAATCACCTCTCCAAGCTCCATCAAGTAGGCTTGAGTCATTGAAAAGTAGCCCCTTGCCAGAAGAGCCAATACCTGCAGAGAGAGCATGGAATTAACCCTCTAAGACCTGAGTGCAAGGCTGCAAAATCCAGAAAAGTGTCATAATATTTCAGAAATCGCTTATGTTTAACAGGGGCTGAAATCTGTCAAATGAAATTAAGAACCATAATCTTTATTTCATGACTAACATCAATTAACTGTATCATAGTTTTATGGTGCTTTAGTATATGATTGCTTTTCATTAATGTAATATCATTTAAGTCTTGGAACTATTCTTTAAATTAGGTATTAATTGAATTTTACCGCTAAAGATACTAAGCCTGACAAGGTTAAAGGATATGTTTCATGTTGTCCAGTTAATCAGCAGCAGACCCCAGGACCAGGCCTAGTCTCAGATCACATTTGTATAGAAAAAGTAAACTCTTTTATCTAGGATTGTTTTCTTTCTTTGAAGGAACAATTATTTTGTTGCTCTAAGCAGGTACAAGACCAAGGAGAAGCTGATAAAGAATTAAACATTTAAGTTGAAAAAATCGAAAATTAACTGTACAATTTCACTCAGAATTCTTCTACCATCTATTACATCCACCT